AAAAAGAAAGCGGCTTTCTGATGCAAGCCCGAAAAATCACCGTGAACGAGTATTTAGGGAAGACAGACATTGCTACTCCCTACCCCTGGCGTTGGTGGTGCACTCAAAAATTATTTTTGTTTTAAACAAAACTTTCAGAAATATAATTTTTCACATAAAAAGAAAGGCATTGGATCACATAATAAACTGTCTCGTGTATCTTTAGCACGCCCGTCTCTGAGCTTAATTTACAATAGAATATCCCCCAAAAGTCACTTTATGTCAGTTTACCAGCGCTTTTACTCAATAAATATTTGCTTGTAGACATTTAAAATATTTTTTCACAGATAGTACGTCAACTGGTGAAAAATTAAAAAAAATTCCGGCTGGAACATTGCCGCAGTTACACAAGACATTATATATTGCATCGAACTATATACGTCAGTAACGTGCAGTGTAAAAAACGCATCGAATGCAAGGAGTGTATACAACAATTGAATGCATTAAAGTAATATAACAATAAATTAAAAAATAATTTCATATCGAAGAAAATCCCCGCCCCTCATCAAGCCAACTCACGCCCAGTCTCGAAGGCGAGCTATAGCGAAAAAAAAAATACCCCCAACTCCCCGAATGGCATCGTGAGGAAATGCGAATGAAATTTTTGTGCCGAGAGTACACGGCGAAGTAATTTTAGTAGCGTAAAGTAATGACGAGACGAGGATTTGTGCCGTTACACATTTATCAGCACCTCTTTGTGCTGTCATTGTTTTAGTCATTGTACCTGGCGGCCATAATGTCAGCTTCTTATCAACCCAAACGCTACACGCGCGTTTCAAACGCACTGCATTGAGACGGTGGCAAGTCACGTTTCAAGTCAAGGACGGGGAGGCTACGGTTGCAAGGGGCGAGGATAAGCGCACGCGCCACAGATGTTGCTATCGGAGAGGGTGGTGGACGGATCCCGACGGACGCCCGACATAGCCCGACTAAGAAACGCACTCGCATTTAAAACGACGAGGCTGTCCATTCACACCCCACGCGCCCCGCCGTGCACAGCGCCGCCGGCATTTCGCCTGGCGAACGATTGACAGCGCGAGGCGGAAAGACGGAGAAGGCGAGGAGAGAACCAAGTGACAGGACAACTTCCACGGCACCACAAGAGCGATGCTGCTAAATCGAATATGCTTTCTCTTTTTGTGCTTCGAGGTGAGGAATTCGGAAGGAAGGCGAGTTGTTTAGCACGTCGGGCCACAGAAAGGAGGAGAATATCATCGTCCAGGACGCCTGGCAGGCTGTAATTTGGGGCGTGAGAAATGGCGTCTTTGTTTCCCTAAAATTGCGCCCTCGACACGCGAGGAGGAGCTAAATGATGAGCGAGCCATTGGCACTCGCTCAGCGGGAATCTTCGCGCTGCGCTTTCCTGGCGAGACGCCATCCTCTCTCTCCCCGCTCTCCTCTTGGGCCTGAGCGCAGATAGAACCCGCAGTGGACCGACGGCAGCATCGTTCGTCGCTGGCTTCCCCCTCGTGAGTCCTGGCTTTCTCGACTGTTGCGCGCGGACGCAATGCCGAGTGCCTGGCGGATGCCACCAGAGACGAGAACACGGCAAACGGTGAGGGAGAAGCGTCGGCTGAGACGCGGCTAATGGTTCGCACCTTTTCAGGTGAAAAGAATCTCGCGCGCCGGTTCCGGGAATCACCGGAACCTCGGCCCATGCTCCGCTTACCTTTACTTTTGTGTGCATTTTTCTAGCCTTCGTTTATCCCACCGCCAGACTTATTCTTTGTCGTTATTATTACTGAATTCTGGTCAGCTAGTGGCCATTTTTCGAGGGCGTCGTCGGTTTTCGGGAGTTTGCCGTCCACTGCGAGAGTGTCCGTTGTGGATTTTGGCTTAAGTGGTGCAAACCCGTGTATCGCTGCGGCGGGATCGCTGGTGCAGCTTGGGAAGCTTGCAGCCCCTTCCTGCCGACTCCCATGCACGGTTCTTTGCGTGCCTGCAGAAATCAGACGCGCATGCGCGCACTCCCACACGCTCAACAGAAAGTTTTCTCATCCGAAAGAAGCGAAGAAATTTATTTGACGCCAAATAAATCATGTTCGAATTATATATAGTCCACCGATTTTCGTAACAGCGTATTGTTCTACGTAATCGACACAATCGCCATGTCATGTGTATTTCCATTACGTGAACATGCGACTCACTCGGCAAGATCGTCGCGAACGCATCGCGATCATTTTCGTACTACGTAAGTTCTTCAAGCCGAACACGAAGCCAGATGCCTGCCAAAGTGCATGGAAGGTGTTTATCTACACCTATAGTTTTTTGTTATCTATAGAAAGCATTATACTGAATGTCTTCAATGTAATTACTAGGCAGCGTAGAACACATTGCGGCAGCTGCATGCGTTTTCGTAATGGAATAGTATATGAGTAGCGTGTTATATAAGCCATGCGCCACGCGGGCATCTAACCTCCTTCACTAGGAAGGCTCGCAATATACTTTGTTTTAAACCATTCCTTTAACGGCAAAGTAATATTTTACCTCTCCTCATTTCCAGCATTTTATTAAAAGCATGTCTTTTTCTCCTTTTACCTTTCCTGGACCATTTCATTCTGCATAAGCTCACTTTTGAGGTACCCCTATACGCCAGGGGGAATGAGACGAGAAGATGTCCATGCACGTGTAATTCGACACCGAACGCCTTCCGCTTGCTCTGTTTCGATGCACGAGTACACATGCTCAAAATCTAAGCCCAGACTGGATTCGACTGTCAACGCTCATTTCTGCTGCCATTCTCCTCACGTAAGCCATATTACGCAGGAGCCATATTACGTAAGCCATATATTACGCATATTAAGCCATATTACGCAAGGAGGCAACCTTGACAAAAAATTACAAAAATGGGGCTCTCTAATTACTGTGGGTGTGCGGGCGACCATCCTTTATAGTTCTCATTTATTTCTCATAGGTTGACACCCACATTCTCTGCTTTCACTCGTTGCGTAGTGTAATCCCAAAACCGTCGACATCGGGAAGTCACCGAAGGGCATGCGGACGACGCGGAGAGAGAAAGAAAAAAAGAAGAGACGAAATACTTGGAGGAGCAGCCAAAGAGGCGTCACGTGCGTCGGATAAAACAGCCGCGCATCCGGCTGCCCCGCAGACACCTTCTCTGGCGGCGCCCTTTTCAGGCATCTCGCGCCGAAGCTGCTGCTGCCTTTTAGCGGCACGCTGGAAAGGAGCGAAATGTGCGGAGGGAGCTCGCCGCGCAGTACGGGGTCCACACATCGCACGACGGCGGCCGTGTCTCTACTTGTCGCGTTTCGCCCGTAAGCGCCCACACGATCGAAAGAACAGACGCAAAGTAGAAAGAAACAGACAAAAAAAAAAACCCCCTTACAAGCACGCACTCCTATTTAGTCTCCACGGTAACCGCCCGCCGTCAGCCTTCATATCTCGGGCGCGCTGTTTTCGTCAACACATCTGTTCGCATATGCGCAAGATAAACGAGCAGCTCGCGTGCTTTCAGGTCGGGTCCGGCATCAATCGACGGGTAGCCCCACCTAATGCCCCCCCTCTTCCCCTGACAACCACAAGAGGCACCCGCTTATCCTCAACACTTCATACATCTATACTATAATATCCACTTGCCTGCGCCCACCACCTATGTCTTCAACGCTTGTTGCAATCTGCGTGCGTCGACGTGTATGTATACACACGTGCTTTTGTTGCAAAAACTCATCACTCAGTAATTTTTTTTTGCGCTGCTTCTATCCGGATCTGCGGCTAAGCCATAATGCTCTTAATGCTCCCTCTGAGGTGCAGGCGGAAGCCAACGATCTACAACACGACTTGTTCATAAATTTCAGGCACGCACTCTTCACAGGCGTGGCAATGCTGATCGCATAATCTCTGGTAAGCGCGTCCTGCAGCGGAGGTGGGTGCCTCGTCCACTGCTCCTTTAATGAGCTTCGTGCAGCCTTTTGCTCTCGGATGAGACCGTTTCATCTCTTTGTCAGAGAAACCTTTTTTTTTTTTTGCTTGACCTTCTTTCTGTCTCACAGCAAGGCGTCAAGACAGAGTTTGGGCTGGCTTACAACAAGTGAGTTCAAGCGCTGGCTAAATGCGTTTGGTAATGAAGCAGCTGAGAAGTTAGACAACTGTCCTTAATGGTCCACTTTTACACACATTCCATGTCGCTAACAAATGTCGGGAGTAAACAAATCGCGCTTCATTATAAACTATGGTGAAGTGAAACGCATCCCAATTAGTGTCTATGAAAGCTAAAGATCATGGCGGTCATGCAAGCCATAACGTGAGTCACGGCTGTGTGCGTATATGACTGATGGGCTGTGGATCTCCAGTCGGCTAAAGCGTTAATCCTATCATAATAATTGTTTTGTTTATACGTCCCTAGACCGGGGTATTATTACGAGAAAGGCCGTAATAGAGGGCCCCGAAATTTCAACTACGGGGTTGTTTAACATGCACTTACACAGCTTGAAGCATTTTTGCCTACACCAAAAATATGGCCGTGGTAGCCAAACTTCAAACCCATAACATTAGCGTCAGCAGTCGCTCCCCATAACCACCATGGTGGGTGAATAAGGTGTTGGTTAAGACAATGAGTCAGGTCTCTTGTTAATGGGGCATCATCCTGCACAATTGTGCCGTGGAACACACATACACACACGAACCCAAACAAAGCTCCTTTGCTTCTGTCTAGCAAAACTACAATGGAAATCGACATTTTGAAAAGCCTACGCAACTTGGAAGCCACGCGGAGGCTGACCAATCGTCAGATATGCTGTGGGAGACGTGGGAAATTCGCGGCGGGAATTCGAGGAGTGGTTTTGAATCGCTCCACCACATAGTTGTGAGCGGGTCATTAATCCACTATTTTCTCTTGCTGCGTACGCCATACGCTACAGCGATGCTCGTTATTTTTTCTGTTCTCGCGTGAGCTGTTCCATACAATGCGCCGCATGGCCTTATTTCTCGTCATTTTGGTGCAGGACAGTGAAGGTGTCCGAAGGCGTGAACGGCATCAGCCATTTCAACAGGCGGCGGCTCATCGACCCCAAGATGGAGGCGTATCGAGAATCCATGTGAGTTCGGTGCATCCAGCAACTACGTGGACGAATCGTTGAAAGCTGTGTTTCGTCGCACACGGTTCGGCGTAACACATTTTCCCCCGCAAAAGTTAATAGTATCATAAATAAACAGGTACGAATCGCGTGTACTTAGCGTCGTGTGTTGTTTGCTAGACAAGGCAAGGCGTCGGGGCAATACAAAATGACGCTATGCCACGTCACTACTTTCGTAAAAAGTTTTATTCTTTCTTTCTAATATATTTTTACATCTCTCTATCTCCATCCTCTTTCCGACTCTCTTCCCCACCCCTGTACAGGGTAGCAAACCAGTTCTTTTCGATTAACCTTCCTGTCTCTTCCTTTTATTTATTCCTCTCTCTCTCTCTCTCTCTCTCTCTCTCTATTTGGCTTTTGCAACGAACTATAAATAGTTTTGTCCTTACCTTTTCATCTGCTATTCTACGTCATTATGCTAGCCGTAGATGTAATTAAGAGTATACGTATATCTGACTCACGACCGCAGATCGCTGTCTATGTATGTTTACCAGAGTTTTAATTACTATTCCAAAACGCAACCGAAACACGATACAGCCTTAAAGGCAGTGGCAGTCGATTCTTTAGCAGTTATATCACTTCTCGCGTTTAAATTTCATGCACGAGAGCCGCCCTAGACGTATACACTCCACGTAACATTTAGTGGCCGATGAGGTCGCCAAACGGGGGCGCGGAACTCGCAAGTAGACGGAGAACGTCCAACTAGGGGCGCTATGCCGCTCAAGATCAGCGAAACTCCGTGGCATTGCGGACTCTTTGAAGCCAACAATATCGAAATTGAGCGAGACAGGAAGAAGCTGGGAGAGAATAAGCGCGAGAAAAGCCTTTTTTATATAACAAATATAAGAAAATATCAAATATAACAAAAAATATAATATAACAAATATAACAAAAGTTTCAAACAGTTGAGGGAAGCCCAGGTGAGCTATACGAGTGTACTGTGAAGGAGAGAACTGATAGGCGGTCAGCTGGTATTCTGCAGTACTAAGAAAGTGCAACAGAACCCTGTATACTTTGAGATAGCGCATCAGTCTAGCGTGCAATGATAAAATGTGGTTCGAAAGCCGATGCCGGACCATTTCCAATTGTATATATATTTACTTAAAGCGTGGGATGAAGGAATCGCTAAAAAAAAAAGGGGGTCTGAGGTGTGGCCTCATCTGGCGACCACCTGCCAGTAATGCACTCTTTCATCATAGCATGATTGGTCCCCCTGGTGCAGCCTTCGGTCCCCAGAGGCTGCTAAGCAACTGTCCAAGGCGGCATGCAGTCAGGCCTGCGACGCAGCGGAGGGTGCTAAGAATCTCTGGGTCCGGACTAGCCGCCATTGAAACTTGGCTACCTTCAACGCTAGAATGCTATCTATAGGGAAGCTAATCTAACAAAGTTCGAGAAATTAGAAAGTGTTATATGGGATGTAATAGGGCTCAGAGAAGTTAATAGGAGGACACGTGAGGCTTATACAGTGCTGGATTGACACGTCCTATTCTACCATAGATTAGCTGAGAAAAAGAACTAGGGGTGAGGTTTCTTATACACAATAATATTGCTGTCAACATAGAGGAATAGAATAGCATCAGTGAACGGCTGGCAAGTATCGCAATTAGGCTTAACAAAAAGTACAAGATGAAGGTAATACAAGCTTACGCGCCTACATCGAGCCATGATGATCGTTTGGTTGAACGCTTCTATGGAGACGTAGAGTCAGCAATCATTAAATGCACAGTATACTATTCTTATAGGAGACTTTAACAAGCAGCGCCTTCGGGAATATTGGTGCCAACGTTCTTTTTTTTACTTACTTTTCAGACGTTTCAACACTTCTTGCTTATGGCCTTCCAATTGCCACATCATACTGTTTCTTTTACCCTAATCTGTTGGGAAATCCTACTCCCCCGTCGAGGCCAGTGTGGCACATACACACAGGGCCACGCGGGAATATTATTTACAGGACATGCCGCGTGATTCGTGAATGGATGCAGGCGGCCGGGCCATAATAGAAGGACGCGCGGGTTAATGATGTGCCCGGCGTCATTTGTCTGTGGCTGCCGTCAAGAGACGTGACGCCGAAGCCGTATCCCGTTTACATCGGCGTCCTTCACGTTCGACAGCCCCCCCGTATAACGAGGGCTTGCGGGATCTTCGCCAGCACTGGAGAGGCCGTGTCAACCGAGAGAAAAACAACCATGGAGCAGAGATCGGCTCCGTTTGCACAAAACCACGGCGTAATAAAAATAAAAAAAAACAAATAAACGTCGTTCTTTCCCCATAAGAAGAAAAGAAATCCTATACTGCGTATCTAATAGTCCCACGTAAACATTGGACGGACGCATGTTTCCACATGAGACTTGCCCAACGTCCCTCGCAAAAACTGACACGTATGAATGGGCAGCTTTTATGTATGCACTTATATTCGTATATCTATATGTGGATCGTCACTCACCAATTGAGCCTATGCATTTCACTCAATCTGCGGCAATCACTTCTGGATAATTTGAGGATGCTTCGAAACAAATGAGGCGAACAAGACCAAGCTTTAACTATACAATGCCAAAATGAAATACATATATATACACAGTAAATTTACATAATGAAGAAAGAGGCCTCTCAGTAAAAACTGGCAGGTGGGTCTTTTTTTTTTGTGTATGTGAAAGAAAGGTAAAACAAAATATCAGTAAATAATGCGAAAACAGAGCAGCTAGTGAATGAAAAAATGAACATAATTAATGTCCTTGTTACAGCTTTGGGTAGCATAAAACAATATGTGCGCCCCACCGCGGTGGTCTAGTGGCTAAGGCACTCGGCTGCTGACCCGCAGGTCGTGGGATCAAATCCCGGCTGCGGCGACTGCATTTCCGATGGAGGCGGAAATGCTGTAGGCCCGTGTGCTCAGGTTTGGGTGCACGTTAAAGAACCCCACGTGGTCGAAATTTGCGGAGCCCCTCCACTACGGCGTCTCTCATAATCATATGGTGGTTTTGGGACATTAAACCCCACCACATATCAATCAAATCAAAACAATATGTGCCAGCAAGAAACAGCAAGATTATTATTAATTACGTACTATATATATATATATATATATATATATATATATATATATATATATATATATATATATATATATATATAAGCTACGCTTCTTTTTACTTGCGCTTGTCCCAATTGATTGTTATCTGCCCGTGGGTATCCCTCTATCTATCCACGTGTGTCGAGAGGTTAAAATGCACCGTCTATAACGCTTATCAATTTTATATATGTATTGTTGCCTTCTTCTTCGCCTAAATATAAGAAAAATTAGCTAAACGAACATTTCATGCTTGTAAGTGTCTGCTTAGTAGGTTAGTTTATTTATAGCGATTAAACGAACAATTATTGCGGCGCCAAACTTGTATTGTTTGAGCATCATGGGTCCTATGTTCAAACAACGATTTGTTTAATGCATACAAAACGTGGGTCCGACACTGATTATTTAACTGTGGCAAATTGAGCCTGCACGTATACAGTCCACGCATTTGTCTTAACGAATGTTCTGGTTGCATTATCAGTTTTTTCATCATCCTAATAGATATGTCTGCAACTTTTCGTACGTCAGCTGATAGGTTACCAGTTTCGGCTCCCCACGGTCAGAGAAAAGAAAAACAGAGTGTGGTAGCGAGATCACACTGTCATTGCTAATTCCCAGTCGCACGTCTCTCGCTTCAGTGTGGAATAAAACGCTAGAAGCGTGGGTCTATTATGAGACTTGCCCAGTTTCACATAGAAGGGAGCTCACAGGCACACGGGCATGGCCCGAAATGTTTACGCTACGGGGGCGTGTGTTTGCATATGTGCGTTCGTTTGTATGTGCTGCGTCTACACACGCACACAAAATTTTAAAATCTCGAGTAGTAGGTGAGAGCCCCTTTCAGCTGACTATATATGCTCACAAGGTATCACACGCCGCTTACGGCGCCCGGTGCAAAAAACTCGCCTTGACGTGTAAGCCTCGAGCAATGACTTCACACAAATGCGCGTACTTCCTCTCCCTTACTGACGTCGTCGTGTACGTGCCCTGTTATCGGCCCATAACCGGGCGGGCCTCGCAAGGGCTGCGTACGTGTGTGTGTCTGTGTGGCGACGCGCATACGGCGGCGTCGTGTGGATGGGAACGTTATGGCCCCCTTTATGCCTCGCGGCGTAAACAGACAAGCTTGGCACAGGGCCCGGGGGTCCGCTGAACCTCCGCAAAAGAAGAGAGCTGTAGGACGCTGGCTGAAGCGCCAAGGGTGGGGAGAAAAGGGACGTGGAAGAGAACGCCGCGTTCGCCGCAAACGTCATCGCGTGTAAACGGTCCTCGAGCGGCACAGCTGCCCATGTAAAAACGCTCCGCCGCTCTTTGCCCCCGCTCTTCTTTCATTCCCTGCCCTCCTGCGTGTTCATGCCCCTCACGGTATGATGGCCGCAGATGTCGTGACCCCGGGGCTACGTCATCCAGGATTTCTATGTTCTGCCCCGAAAACACCCCTGCAGCGTGCCGGGTGATAGGCCCAAATCTTTAACGACGGATATTACTTCCCCGTAACTGCCCAAAAGACTGGATTTGGTGCGCATTGTCATAACAACACCGACAGGCACCGCTGTGCATTTCGTTTTCAGATCCGTTCAGGATTAGTGCAATAGAAAAGATGCATAAATACGTAAACACGTATTTCTTCTTCTTCTATCTATCTATCTATCTATCTAGCTATCTATCTACATATCTATCTATCTATCTATCTATCTATCTATCTATCTATCTATCTATCACTCTATCTATCTATCTATCCATCTATCTATATACATATCTATCTATCTATCTATCTATCTATCTACATATCTATCTATCTATCTATCTATCTGCGGTATAGGTCATAGAGTTGCCTAAAATTAACTAGAGGGGACTCTGGCGCTGCGATCATTCAGCGACCATGGGAATGATGGGTAGTACACAAATTTGCCTAGTCTTTCTTTTTGCGGGCGGCGAATCGTACTTGTGGCTTCGTTTATTGCTGTGTTTCGGTTTTGCATTGAAGGAAAGAGCGAGCCCTTTTTAGGGCCCGATTTAAAAAGGTAAGCCTAAAAAAGTAAGGTGGTGAAGCGCAACCACTGAACATTTGGTCATTTTTGTTCCGTGACAAAACAGCTGGAGCCAGAAGTACGAAGATTAGGCAAATCTGTGTACTACCATAGGTACTGCCCATCATTTCTATGCTCGCTGAAGCGCCTTGCGTTGCAGCTCCCATAGACACTAGTGCCAGAGTTCTCTTTAGTGTGTATTGGGAAACTCTATGGTATAGGTAACGGCTCAATGATAAGTCACCTTTCCTGCTTGAACGCGCCGGTGTCCCTACCATTTTTAATGGCAAACATGCTAACATGTAGCTTTGCTTAGGGGGGCCTCTCTCCGAAGAATTCTTACGATGGTTATCTGAAAAGCAGCGAAGATGCAGAGGGTGAATGAACACATACGTCTTGTTGTTTTTTATGTATTAATGCATTCGAAACAATACGTCGATACCCCGCACCTTATTAATAGGACTCGTGGGCAGCCCTTGTGCCTACCCCTCAGCAATTCATCTGCAACAGGTCCGGTGTTTTCGGCGTGGCAAAATGCATCGTACGCAGTCCTTGAAAACAGAGTTGCCTGCAACGCCTTGACAGAGGTATATACATGAAATTATATTTTACAGCTACCGCATCTTTCAACGTCCCACTGCAAGAACGGTGAAAAAGTATGAGTGAAACTATACTTTGTGTGTATGAGTGAAACTATACGGTGAAAAAGTATGAGTGAAACTATCTTTGTGTGTTGATGCTTTGCTTGTAGTTAAGGGCAAAGACGTCTCGGTAGTGCACAGTTGGCGTAGAAGTGACTGTATTCGGTCGTACTGCACAGTAGATATAGTTGGCGCATTTTAAGACCGGCCGAAAACCAAGCCTGAAGTAGGTAGACTATCTTTTTCTAGTGGTCCCCAAACCTATGACTGTACACAGAAAGTGCCTACGTCACAGTAACGAGCAGTCATTGCAGGGCGATGCGGTGGCAACTCATCATGGAGCCAGCGCGCGTGTGCAAGAAGAAGCGGCTGCTGCGCGGCCGCAAGGCGCGCATTTGCCGCAAGGAGCCCAAGGTGGTGCGCGAGATCGCGCGGGGAGTCGACCTGGGAATTCGGGAGTGCCAGAATCAGTTCCGCTTCCATCGGTGGAACTGCTCGACGCTCCGGTCGTCCATGAAGAAAGTGCTCATGAAAGGTGCGTAGCATAGAATAGCCACCACTAATGTGTCGATTATAACGAACCCTCGTCGAATGTCCGGAGAAAGAAATCTCTCAGCGGCGTCGGGGCATTTATCAAGTTACTACGGTACAGAAAATCAAAGCCCAGAAAAAAATTACGTCCTCTCTCTAGTTATTGTTCTTAACAAATATCTTCGCCTGTGTATCATTTATGACGGAAACGATGGGACCATAAAATGTTTTGGGGTTCCGTTGCGGTTACGGTATAGAACCATTGCTATAGTTAAGCCGGCGGCTGCTCTATTTTTTCAGTGCCCGAGCGAAGTAGCGGATTTCAATGGAAAGCGGCCGTCGGTGTTAGTGCGGCGTTTCGCCGCCAGGCGCCGCAACCGGAGTAGATATGCCACCGCGTCGTCTCTCGTGCAAACGAATGCCGTGGCTGCATTCGAAGTTGCTATATTGTTCAATTTTCGGCTGTATTTGCATTGTTTAAGGTACAGCGTGCAATAAACTGAAAAAAAAAATGAGGCGCTGGTCGAAACATGCGTGACACACACACACACACACACACACACACACACACACACAAATGTTACAATAGACTCCTACGTAGACATACGCTAATTATACGGTAAGATATCGTTGTTCCCGGCCAAAATAATCTATTCGAGAAACCTGTAACACCCACGTCGAACACTATATGTCCGAACAAATTACCTGTATAAAAACCGTATTTTGCCACAGGTGAAACTGAATTCACACGTAAAACTCGTGTCTAAAATTGAGGTATTTGTGCTCTCCCATAGTAGAGCACCAAGTACTCTGAATCGTTAAAACATTTTTTTCTAAACACACGAAATCGCGATGCGAGCCTGCGCATTGCGTACTGCGTCACCCTACGTCAGCCGTTTCCTCTTCGGTCCGCACGAAGCGATTCGTGAAACGACGGAGCCCCAAATGAAAGCGGGTATCCTCGGGGAGCAATGCTGAAATTCTCGCTTGTAGCGTGAAGTCTCCCCTGTCGTGTGAATGCTAGTTGCGGGGGGATCCGAATCACGTCACATGTCACGTGGCTAATTATTCGTCCGTGATCACGTCCGTCGAGTGAATACTGCATTCACTTTCGAAGCATATCCTCCACTTCTGGAATTTTCTGAATCCTCCTTGAATTGCCTAAGACGACAGGAAGTAAATTCTCGTTTTTGCATACCATTTAAATTATATGGGACAACAATCGGGTAACGTACTCACCGATACAGAGATTCGCCCACTCGTAATGATCCCCTTCATGAATATGCGTGTGCTTTTTTGTTTCACATTTTTTGTTGGCGAGTTTCATTGTGTATTATACGTACTTCTTATAATGAACTTACTTGAGCTTTCAAGCTTGCTCGCAGTTACCATAGGTCCGACTGTACCCATCCGTAGCCGTGCGTATTCAAGCTTACAGTTCCCAAACATGAAGGTTCCCAAACTGGGATGGCCACCTGCTATTTCCGACGTGACGCGTACCACCCTTCGTGAACTGCCTATACTCTGTAGGGAGGGTACATTAATTTGCGTTATGTAATTTGTTGCGAGGAACGCCGCCCTTTAAGCTTAAAAGAAAAGCGAACGAAACGTGTTTTTTTGGACATTATATCAAAAGTTGGTACATGCTTTGTTGGTTAAACAGAACTGCTTAAATGGCGGGAGAGCTAACCGTTCTAAATTATCTGCAAGCAAGGTGTGGGCACGTGGTTCCCTCTTCGAGTTCCTCGTAGTGCGAGTTTCGTAAAAGCACAAGTTGTACTTGTGCGGTCATGCACAAATAAAGAACAACTATCGAATGTACAAACTTAAGGAAGCCTTAGCAAAGGAGGACATTTGCCAACTTGATTGATCGATTTATTTATTGATTTATCTTTTTTATTGATTGATTGATTGATTGATTGATTGATTGATTGATTGAACACAGCGTTAGAGGAGAGCATGACTTCCTGCTTGGACATCTATACCATTGCACTCGCGAAGCTTTTAGGGAAGGTCACCTTAATCCTGCCCAACCGTAGCGCACGCAGCCATCCGCTCAGGTTGATGGTGCATCATGTGCATTTGTGCAGACACTCGCGAGGCGGCGTTCGTGGACGCCATCGTGGCGGCGGGTGTGGTGTACGCGCTGACAGAGGCGTGCGCCCAGGGTCGCCTGCTCGATTGCCAATGCAGGCGGCGGCACAACGCCGTGAACCACCTGCAGGGCCGCACTGGCTGCGACCACTTCGTCGACTTCGGATATCACAAGTCGCGCGACTTCATGAACCGGAAGCGCGTCGGTGACCTGCGTGCCACCATCTTGTCGCACAACTACGAGGCCGGACGACAGGTGAGTATGCCACGTCGGCCTCTGCAGCACTTCTCAAGCAGCTTAATGCATGACGTGTATTCAGACACATTGGCAGTCGTGGCCGTATCCCGTATGTATAATGTCTTCACTGGCAGCTATTTATGTAAAAGACAAGGAAAGAGACATGTGCGCTCCGCTGGTGTCCATGTTGATTTGTTTACGCCGTCACGAAACACATATGTACCATGTTCTGCCGTCAAAACCAGAAATGTCGTACACAATGAATGAGCAAGGATCAAACTTAAACACGCTGCGCCTGGCATCTTATATTTGGGAAAGTGCATGCATTCATGCGAAGCATATATTCGCGGCCATCCTTGCCAAAGCTGCGCGGCATAGAGATTCTGGAGCCAATTCGACTTTCCTGGCTACAATGGCAACACTAGTGGAATGGATAATTTGTCGAATCTACTCCCATTCTATTTTGCACAACGCCGAGCGGCGCTCTTTCTAAGGGACAGGGAGCCATGAGTTGCAGTTTGAAAGGACTAGGATTGCTACGAAAGAAATCGTGCACGTTTGCTTTTGTACACCATGCAGGCCGTGCGACTGCACCTGGAGCGCGTGTGCCGCTGCCACGGCATGTCCGGCACCTGCTCGCTGAAGACGTGCTGGCGCAAGCTGCCCACCTTCAGCAAGGTGGGGCTGCGGCTGAAGCAGCGCTTCCAGGGCGCGGTGCGCGTCACGGCCGGCAACTCGGGCAAGGGCTTCGTACCGGAGACGGTGAGGCCGCCGGGACGCGAGGACATCGTTTTTTCCGAAGAGTCGCCCGACTACTGCGAAGCCGACCGGCGCACCGGATCCCTGGGCACCAGGGGGCGCCTCTGCAAGCTGGGCTCGCAGGGTCCCGACGACTGCCGGACCCTGTGCTGCGGTCGCAAGGTGCGCAGCCGGCAGACAGTGGTGAGCGTGGCGTGCAACTGCACCTTCCAGTACTGCTGCAACGTCACGTGCCAGACGTGTCTCGAGACTCTGCACGAGACCACGTGCCTATAGGGGGTCAACGTTCAATGTGTGGGGACCACCAAAGAGCGCTCTTCTGGAAGTGTGCCGCTGTGCTGCGCCTTAGCTTTGCTCTGAACGCTACGAGGAACTAGTGTGTGGCTTAGTGATCGAATGGTGTGACTGTGAGAGACTTTCTCGAATGCCCTGAACATCGACGCTGCTTCCAAACGACGTATGCACGCGACTGACAGAGAACTGCTTCCTTCTTCTTCATTCGACCGCTGCAGTTAGCTTCGTCCTCGATTAGTAGCTCACTCGCGCTTGCTTCACAACTTCGACAACGCCGGTAACGAAGATTCGAAGCACCATGGGAGAATCGTGGTTCGAGACAGCGCTTAGACAGATGGGTCCACAAGGGGCAGGCTTCTGCCGGGACACGTCAATGGCGCGGGCTCGCCAGACTTAAGAACAGAAACAAAGAGAACAAAAGTGCTTCTTCATTTTCGACAAGGTCTGTGATATAGTAAACTGTGGGCTCCGTGAGCTCGTGCTTTGAACGACCGGCGGCCTGTGTCTGTGCGTGTGTGTGTTCGTATTCTGCGTGTATACATGTGTGGACTAAAAAGCCGGTATTTCGGGCAAAGTGTGCCAACCGTTCGTTGTGTATCGCGTCCATGGCACTGGCGGCTTTCAGAGCCGGGGAAGCTGTGTGCGCGCGCTTGAGGACAATCTTATGTATCGAACGCGCGACGTGTGTTGACGGTAAATTGAGTGTAGGTGTTTTTTTTTCTTTAGCTGTTGTTGCTATTTTTTTGGCAATTTGAAGATGAGGACAGTCGTTTGCTGCTCCTTGGCCTTCGCGGCTGATGGCATTTAAGACCTGGTATAGTCAAGCTTCCACGTTTTTGTGTTCTTCCTGTGGGTTTCTTTCTTTTCAGTCAGGAGCAAACGATGAGATGGCTGTTTATGGTACTGTGGCGCCCCACGAGGCCGTGCATTCGATGCTTGCAGGCTATGAGAAATTTTTCTTAATATGCGCGGCTATTTGATGTATAGTTTAAGGCATTTTACTAACCTGCGTGCATCAGTGCAATTTACATGACGGCTTTTTATGTCGTGTTAGTTTGTGTCGTAGTATTGTTGTTAGCGACATACGTGTGCGTGATATATGTTTCTTTCTTTCTTTTTTGGGGGGGAGGGGCAGGTGAGACGTCAGAGACTTTATTGCGGCTGGTATGCAGTGTTGATCGTGCTTGTCTGTCACAATAAGCCTTTCCTGCTTTTTCATTTCTATAGGCCAAACAAAACGAGAATGATGTTTTTTTTTATTATTGAGAATGGGAGGGCGGATGTAGTTTAAAACTCATGATTGAGTCATTGAGCAGGAGAATTTCAGAACAGCGGTATTTGTTTTGTTCACTAAAAGCCCACAATTTCTTTGAGAAAAGCTTCGTTCTTCACAACTGTGATCGGCGCTATTGTGTTGTACCGCTTTGAATGGTAGGTGTTTGCATTCAAGAATTTTTCTTCGTAAGCTTTTTTTTTTTTTTGACCGCTAGCTCTTGGGGTATTTTTGCTTTTTTTGTTTTTCAACGTGAAAGCTCGTTGTTTTAGAACAACAAAACAAAACAATTTATATAGAACATGGAATTTCAACACTCACCTAAGTCAGCATGCCCAGTCAACTTGGCTAGCTAACTGCCTGCACCTCAATATTTACAGAATACACGAAAAAATGCACCGACGTATTCGTGCCAAAGATTATAATGCGAAGTGAACGAGCTGCTTGCACGCTTACTTGCAGGAAGGTTTTCATCGTCGTAAAAAGTGTCCACTTTCATGCGACATTTAGGCTTAGCTAAGTAATATCTTGAACATTTCTTATCTACTTGCCACATTACATTCTTGTTTTGTTCCGAGGAGAGTGATTATAGCTGCTGTAAGACCACAGTCAATGTTGTGGGCTCTTATTATTTAATTACCACCGTAACAGCAGCACTTAAGAAGGCACTGGGTTACAGAAGAATAACATGGTCACGAATAATTGTAGTATACCAGCCAAAGGACGCTCATTGCAGCTCTACTAATGTTCGCTTCCGCTATTTATTGTGTTGTGAGAAGCATTTATGGCATTATTCGCGTAGCTCTTACGCCGTTCATAACACGAAAATGAGCGAACACTACACGTTAGATGCGTCTGTATTATAACGAGCATTCAGCGTATATAAACACAACTGTTTATTAACTTTGTCGCGGAGAGACAAAATCTTCATCAGGGCTGTTGAAACCATGCAATAACCGCCGTAATCATTAAGTCATTTGCCGCAAACGTAATTGGCGATTTTGTAAACTTTGTGCTGCACAGTGGAAAGAAACCGGTATAACAATGAGCTCATCTTCGTCGCTAAAAGATTCAGCGCTGCGCCTTTACAGAATCTGCTGCCGGATTGTCCATACTGCAATTGACGTTGGTAGCGTGAGTAATGACTGCCCTACCTAATGAAACCACCAGCATCACACTATCAAAATTTATTTCATCCCGCATGCGTTGTTTAGATGATGATATCATAACGCGCAGAGATTTTAACAGCCTAATCTTCGATGACGTTCATTTGCTGAAAACGTGACAACGTTATAGAACAAAATTTCACACGCGAAGTGGGGCAGCTTGGGCTAGTTGGTTTGGCATGACGATAGTTATAGCGCGAGAACAAAACGACGACACAGAGACAAGAAGGATTCGTGTCCTTCTTGTCTCTGTGTCGTCGTTTTGTTCTCGCGCTATAACTATCTTCACACGCGAGTGCTGAAAGACGCCATCACTTCCGCGGTGTCAGTACGAAGTCGCGTAATGTCCGCGTTTTTTTTTTTAATCGCATCATTTTCAATAAATCCGCCCCTTTGTAACAGAGTCGCAAGTTTTGGTTTCCAGGCAACAGCTACGTCGTCTACGTTTTGAGCTTACTTGACAGATTTAACTTATTTTATTACGCAACACGAGCGTTATGTTTTATCTCTACGTGGGCCTCATTGCGACTTTTGTTTACCACCAGCGTGCCTTCAGTGCCATCAGAAAGATTTTTTTTTTTTTGCCTTCAGTCTTCGTGTGCCCTATAAAGATGTTGTTTCGTAAACTACTGCTGTATTTGTGTTGCTTCAGTTTCGCAATTGCGAAACCAAGAGAGACACTTTGAGTGTCGTGTTATTACTCTCTGCACCTGGAGAACCTCATTTGGTGTATTATACACGCCCGGTTTATGCTTGAAGAGAACATCCTGAGTCATATGCAAAGCCGATTATTGGAAGCTTACTTGCGGGTTACGTATACCTATGTGACGCTATACCTATAGTACTTGAGCGTGAAACATCGCTCCTTTGTGAAACTGCAAGGAATGAACCTAAGCTTCTGAAGGCGTTTACAGAGTGGTAGACAAGACGCAGTCCAAAGTGGGTAAGGTGTGCGCATAAGCCATGACATATTTCGCTAATGTACTCGTCTTGTTGCTGCGCATGTGTGGAAATCATTATGGCAGAATATCGCTAAATACGGGCACAATTAACGCACAGGACGCAGCGCTATGCCACTCACTCGTATTTCGCGCTGTTCTGCCATAATGTTCACGAACCAACCAGTCCACCTAAGATCGATCCTTTGAGCTGCAATCTGGACTTTCGACTGCTGATAGCCTGCCATTTTCGACATGTTCTAAGCAAAAATAGTGTACAGGGCAACTGGGCCGCCTGGCATTCGAACATCTTCTCAAACCGATTTCCTCATTTCCGCCTGCGTTCTCGGGGCACCAATGCATCAATCAATCTGCAGCCGCGCTTAAAATGCCACTCCATATTTCCCCTGGCTGCCTCTCGCCGTGTGTACGTAATCGAAAGCGGGTCGTAAAGATCGCCACGAACATCCTGTGGCACGCCAGCTGCTCGCAGCCATGTCAGACACGCGGGGCACAGAGAGCCGAGAAGGGGGTGCCACTCGAGGGTGTTGCGCCGTGCGAATAGAGACAGCGACAACAACAACAAGACAGGGGCAGACACGAAATGGAAGAGAGAGGGGCGAGAGCAGAGTAAGCTGCAGAATCGAGAGAGAGAGATGGAAAGAGCCATCGGCACCCAAGAATGAAACAAAACGAGAACCCAATCAGCCAATTCATTCGCCCCCTTCTTCCGTTTTCTTTCTTTCTTTCTTCGCCTTCTTCCCCGTAATCTGCCTGCTTGGTAAGGCTCAGCACGGCGTGCGTGTGTGGTCCGCCGAGGCACTTGGAAACAAGTCTGCGCACGCGTTAGGTCGGGATTAGCGGCCGGCTGCTTGCCTGCAGCCGTCTCTCGCGGCCTGCTTCTGCGTGCGTCGCCGGGGGTAATCGCCGCAGTGCGACCCTCCCTTTCCCAATCCTGAATTGAAGGGTGGCGAGGAGGGGATAAGCGAGGGGGGGGTCATTAATTTGCGAAGGGCGTTAGCGGCGGAGGGGAGGAAAGCGGCTGATTACAAGGGCGGTCCGCCTCCTCTCCCTTATGAGACGACCCCACCCCGCAAGGGGGCACGCAGCCATCAGTTATACCTGCCAGAGGCCTTGCCTTTCGGGAACGCCCACTTGGCACCATCGCCGGCGCCAGCAGCGGTCGCCTATGAAGCTGTCTCGTCGACTTGCGCTGCACGAACTCCCTCCTCCGGGGCTCCTTTCCCTTTGTCACCCCCCTCACGCCTCGCAGACAGATAAATGGCTCGGCCGCGGTCCGGACGCGGGATGCCCGGTCGACCCACACGCAGCCCTCATTAAAGAGTGAATTGTCTGCCCGCACCTTCTCTCTCGGGAAAGGGTGGCTTGTGGGGAAAAGCACTCGCCCCGCCAAGTGTCAATGGATCTGGCGAGGGAACATGCGTCCAGGGGATCGTTTTTTCGACGTTCGCGAAGAGCTGAGTGCGTCTTGGTCAGGTGTTAATAAGAGTTGGGCTTGCCCGTATGTGACGCGTTCTATGCAGGACGGCCGAGTGCTACGTAGACTGGATTATACTGCCGCTATAGGGGAACAGTGACGCACAGCAGTGGCGCTACCCAGCGGTAAATACATCAAAACTCGTAAAACTGATCACATGGGATGACGCGTGTGTTGCCCACCAGCCGGAATATAAGTGCCAATAGCCCTAAGTGTTTTTTTCATAAATGAACGAAAGAAATCCCTATGCAAGCACGTGTCTTTCGTGTAAAATACCAGGCATATTGCTATGCTATGGAGGCGCAATATGTCGTTCAGAACACAGGATATTCGCTCAGGGTCATGGTAAACATTTGTGTCATGACACTAGATGCACGTAACTCTGAAATACTTGTTGAGACAAGAAACTCTACATATCGCTGCGCCTAATAGGCGCATTTACTTAATATTCTTTCTTGCACTGTTTCTTTTATTTCTTACCACCTATCTTATATTTGTTTTTTTGGGTGGTTTCTTATTCAACAGACATTCAAAATGAAGCCTTTGTCAGAAAATTTGGTTCTCTGTTGCGCGAAAGACCAATAGGTGTTACGATCTCTTAAATAGCTTCAAAAGGTTTAATGTGATGTTTATTCTGTTGTAACACGTGCGTTTCTATTGTATATAAAATACCACAGCAGTTCTGCAAGAGATTCACTGAGCATAATAGGCTTGAGGTTTAGTGCCAGTTAGTTTGCGCATGCCTGCTGGACAACAGCAACCAGATATACACCCGCCATCTTACGCACTATTTTTACAAGTGCTTTGCGCGTTATTATAACTTACACGTTATAATTATTACTATTCTTGTAATGAATGAGAGAGGTTGTTGCATGTGCTGAATGAATGTGCACAGCAATGTATGTGAATTGTGTGTCACCCCTCAAGCTGGAGTCACTGAAGTGTGCTTCTCCTTTAAGAGAAGCTTGCTGCGGAAAAGCCAGATTTAAAGAAAATGTATGCTGGTTACGTGCAGACCGCTTCGGTGGCTTGTGGAGATTCGTTGGCGTCGTGCACAACATTCAAAGGTTTCCCGTATGACCAACAGGGCATATTCACAGTAATTTGTTCCACGTTATTCCTCAGAAATATTTACCTCGCGGGCCGTGTGTGTTCTTGTAGTAGGAAGGCAACTAGCGGCCCATGCTTGTTACGTGCCGCTATACTATTAAAAGTGTCCAAATTGGCGCAACGTGAAAGCATGAAAGTGTGAACTACGTAAATTTATCATAAACCGAGGTACTAAGAATACAATTTTCATCCTCTCACATGCATTTAACGTCGATGAAAGTAAAAGAATGAAATAAAATGAAAAAAAAAGTTAAACCATCTCCCGCTAAAGAGAACCATGTGCAGATGCGAAGCAGCGGACGCTAACGATTTCACTGTCGGCGGCGTTGACGCTGGCAGTCGTCGCTGCGTTGCACAGGAGAGAAATCTGGGGAGGCGCAAAGTATGCACTGATGGACCGATGCTTCCTATTCAAAACATGTCAATCACTGGCAATGAGAGACAGAAGACTCCGATTAGACGCATACCCGTAGTCCGCTTTTAGTTAACGCACACGCTGCGAATTTTTATTGTTCAACAACACGCAGGAGATATATCCCCCATGGAGGTCTATCTTGGAGATATATCTTGGAGGTCAAGATCCAGTGCTTATATGTACGAGGTGGCCAGTGTACGGTTGTGCAGTGTGAGCAGTCTGTTTTTTTTTTTAATTTTTAAGTCAAGAAACGCGCTAGCAGAAGCTGCCTGAGCCGGCGTTGCGAGGTGAGAGAGGAGGGTGTGTGAGGGAGTAGAAAAAGGCGGAGGGTACGCGCATGCGCAATGGGGTTCTAAACGCCACTGTGTGGGATGCCTTGAGGAAAGAGGGGAGGGACTGAGAGTGGGCTAGGAGATGCTGCCTGCGTCGGCTTTGCAAGGCGAGAGAGTAAGAGAGCGTAGGAGAGGAGAGGGATGGTGCGCATGCGTTGTAAATGTGGTCACGCTGCACGCTGGACTGAGCTCGACCTTAAGACGCTTCGCATCTAAAGGAAATACAACGTCCGCTGGCTCGTGAACGCGAAGTATTTCATTCCGGCAAGATGAATGTATATCTGTGTGGATTGAGTTTTTTACGGTGTCTCCGTGGGAGACCAAACATAAAACATTTAGTTTTTGAGAAAGAGGCAAGGATAGACGCGAAACCATGACTTGTAAGGGCGTCCCCACCTTATTCGGTGATGGCAGCTGACACACTTGTGTATTTTTGTACACTGAAGGCTTATTCCTTATTTTAAGCAATGCACAGGTTGATCATCTGGGGAAGGAAAATGCTACGCTTAGCTGATTTCTTGCGTGGGCGTAGATGAGGTTCATGTGGTAGTAACACAAAAACCAACATGCTCGCAGATTCATAAAGTGTCGTTTGATATAAGTTTTTATTTATTAAATAAATCGAAATAAAATTTATTTTATTTCAAACCTTCCGTAATAAACTTAACATCTCATCATCAATTTACACGTAATACATATACATACAATCAACTCACACGCCTGAATCAACAATCACATGAACGTAAACATGTAACTAAAAGTTTCAACAAGATTCGTTGGGTAACATGCACATTGGTGAACACCCTCCTTCTATATACAACAACACATTCATTCCTTCTATCATTCATAAGCGACTAGTCAAATCACGCGAAAATTCTTGCATGCAGAAGAATGAGTACCAGAATTGTCTCGCTTCTTTTACTATAACTGATGAAAATTTACGTATAATAGACATTCTGCGCAGCGGCTCTGTGTGAAGTAACGCGTTACAGAACACATCCAAATACAGATGGCACTAATTGACCCCTTTATCGAATTTGATCATTCAGAACAGCTACCTCAATTTTCTTCAATTGCTGTAAACTACAATTATAGCAGATGAGCTGACAGCACTGCTGCCAAATGTTCTCATGGCCGTCATCTTGCTATAGCATTAACTTACGTGTAGTTCGAACTTCGAAATCATTGACTGAGCACGCGGGGAGAAATCATGCTATCTTCGAGAAACGACTGCAGTCGCTTTAAGTAGAGACCGACTAGAAACACTCAAAAAGATCAATTTATATAGATAAGGTATTGCTTCAAAGCTCTAATTTTCACTACCTTTCCTAGCTTT